GGACAGTATAAACAAACATGACTAAGTAGCAGGTACAGCATTGCCAGCTCCAGTAAACGTACAAATTAAGTTAACCCTAGACCTTACTGCAAGACCACATGGTCTTGTTAAAGTTATTACTGCTCCTAAAAAATTTGTCCTGCCTAGATTTGATCAAATTACAAGTAGCTTTCCAACTGCAAAGCAGTCAGTCAGACAGCATTATTCTGCAGCTGTGGAAAACACCTACTCCCAAATCTCAATATTCACCACTGAGCTTTGGGTCCAAATGGAGCTGAAGGATATCTTCCCTCCCTAAGATCAGGGCTGAGAGAGATTTGTGAGCTAAAATTCGCTGCCAACCATAAAGGTCAGCTGTTCCCATCTCCTGCTGAGCTTGCTTATATATCCCTTTTTTTTTTTTTTAAATATCTACCTCCTGCTACAGGTACGGATTGCACATACTTATGTTGACGTCTCATAGTGGTGAAGCTTCTAGCACTGCCTTGTGTTTCAGTTTCAGGACACCTTGTCCAGGTGGTGTCCAGGACATCTGGACACAGGTCCAGTTCCAACATCTGTTAATTTTGTGCCCCCAACTTTTATGACTGTCTGTAGTGCTTCTGCTCTTGCTACTCCAGTGGCTTATCTCTTTCCAGATCTTATAACCTTTTTCCAGAGTTCTTGAGGAAGGAAGAAGTGAGAAAGAAAACGAACAAGAGCTACCATTGCATTTTTTTGCAAGTTCTGAATTGCAGAGCTTTCTCCATCTCCACCTCTCCTGAAAGAAGTGGTGGCAGATGCTCTAACAATGAGGAACACTGGAGAGATCTGTGAGTCCCTGCTTGTACCTGTCACTGGCTGTTTTCTTCTCCGGGGGTGAGGAAATGGGATGGCACCCAACCAGTGGCATAAGACACAGCAGGAAACATGGAAGCTAAGTGTCTCATGTCATTGCCATGCTATTTTTGACCCTAAGAGCAAATGTAAAACACGGTCCAAGAGATAAATCACCTAAACTTCCTAAACTGCAGCTCTCCTGACTACCAGCAGAGAAGGCAAGCAGGGATATCTAAGCAAATGGGTTAATATCACTCTAATACAGTGACTCAACATGATTGAGCCCCTTAAGTATGAATGCTTTGACTAATGAGTACTTAACACTTAATTATAGTATTCAAAGCACTTAATTAAAACACATAATTAAGACACATCACACAGGAAGGTCAGCACTATTTTGTACTTGTGAAAACTGAAGAAAGGAAATTACTTGAATAGGGCCACGCAAGTGAGTCAATGACAGGCAGGGATGCAAAACCCAGGCTTTCTATCTAGGGCATGCTCTTGCGGATTGTATTGCATCTCAGCAAATATTAGCAGAGGATATGTTTTATATTTTTATGCATCTTCTCCAGTCATCGGGTATATCGGTGCATACATAAAAAAGTCTGGTGAATCATCTTCCTGTGTTGGGACTTCACACTGTATCTCTCTCTCTCATTCACTCTGAGGCCGCCAGGTCAGAGATCAGTCTCTTTAGACATTTTCTATGTCTAAAACTAGTTTTTCGAACAGATTTTGGAGACCAACTGAATTATGTCACCTAGATTATCATGTCCATTTTTTAGAGGCTTGGGATCACTTTTAAAATACGAATTGCTTACCTTAATAATGAACAAAGAATGCCAATTTATGTCAGCTGAGTTAGTGCCCTAAGGGTTGTATTATATCACTGGTTTTGCAGTGTGTAGTATTCAGCAAGAATGGACTGATCCATGGCATAAATATCCAGTAAAGAAACATCACATACTTCAACTATGAAAGCATGAACAGGCAGCAACTATATCAAGAATTTGCTGACAATAACCTTTATAATGGGAGGGAAATCCCAGATCCAGTTTAGGGTTTCCTTCTTTATCCATGGACTTTGGAAACGTTACTACATTTAATGGCAGACAATACAAATACTATTTCATAGCTTTCTGGAGAGTTTTTTTTTAAATGTAGTGCTCTTGTTCTTTACCAGCTGTTGAGTCAAATTTGGCATAAGCCTGTTTCTTTGTGTACAGCCTGCAAACAATGTGGATTGTAAAATGAGTAGGGCACAAACCCAATTTCAATTGCAGGCTGGGATTCCCCTATGCTTTTACAGGGAAACTTGGTTGATAACTGTGTTTTCTATTGGGTGAGGCATGGAGACCAAGCCCATTATATTTAACCTTTGAATACCAGAATATCATGTGAGCTCTAAAGCCAAGCCATTAAAATAAGGAAGGAGAAATAAATCATAATACATAATAAAAGCTTGGTTGTTCCTTTGCCATCACTCAACCCACAATTGTATATTTTCATGCTGTTTAAATTTTCATGTAATACTTGCATAAACATCCAGTGTTCTTTTGTTTTTCCTTTCTTGTACTGAACAGAAGTACAGTTTGTGGTATAGTGATGAAACCTGGATATTGCCTTATACAAGGCAATGCAAAGATGTCTTGCTGAATACTCATGGTAAACTAAGAATGATTCATAAAGTTGTAATAAGATCCAAAATCTAAACAGTTCAGTGTGAAGGGTTTTTAAGTCACATAGCTCAAAACAGTTATGTCACTGTTTCCCTCTTAAGTACAACCAATGTTTTACTCTGATAAGGAATACCCAAGGAGGTCAAAACTGCTTACAAATATGCAAGGGACATAGCCACCTTAATATCTAGTCTGCTGGTCAAAATCAACAGTTTCAGTTATTAAACCTGCTCAAAACCTTCTGACAATACCCACAGTTTGAAAAATGCAGAAGAAAGCAAATTAATTGCTTTTCATTCCCCTGTTGCTTTACGAAGAATCACACAACCTCAGGGCTGACTCTGCAGAAGAGAAATCCGCCATACAAACTTATGGGAAAACATCATAAAGAAAAAAAATTACTTTCTATAATACTCACTTATAGCAATAGCAGCTACAGAAAACTTCTGATAGTTTTAAAATTACAAAATTTCATTATCAGATTAAGCAAATTGCTAGAAAAAAATGGCATTGATTCTCTACTTTGTGATCTGGTGTGCTACAGCAGAAGGCAGCACACATACATTGCACATAGACAAAGACAAATTGTAACCCCTGGTTAGTGCCCGTGTAAAGACCATCGAGTTATAAATTATGCAGAAGATAAACTGATCCCTTTTAAACTAACTCAGGTAGGAATGGGATTGAGGCCACAAACTGTTAATTGAAGCTACTTCCAAAGGAAAAGGAAGAAGGAGTTTTCTCTAACCAGCTAGTCATGAGACTTTAAAGTTCATGTAGCTAAAATGGTTTGCACCAGATTGAAAATGCTACGCTGGCAGTAATTTGTCCTGTTGAGATCATAATTGTTCCCAGTGAGAAAACATTTTTGTCTTAAAAAGTCATTAATTCATTCAAGATTCTTCTGAATGCAACTAGCAGAAACATTACATAGAGAACATGAACTGAATCCTATCTTTAATATCACAAATGATTGATTGATTCCGTTACACTGTAAACAATGTATTTCCCCTGCAAATTAAAAAAAATACACCTTTCTCAGTTATTCAACCTTCAGTATTGGAAAAGTTGTAAGACAAACTCTTGAAGGCAAAGAAAGAGATCCAGTCTACCAAACCTCAGGGTTGTGTCTATATCTTAGGCATCTAGTGAATCAGTCTTAACATACATACCTAAGATATGACAGAGAAAGATGCCCTTTAAGGTCCCCAGAAGTAAATCCTATCCCCTAGACTGAATCCCACTGAAACAGGTTGCTATTGTTTTTTTACATGCTGAGTCTGATAGTCATACACTCTTTGGAGGGATAAATTAGAACGGTAAATCATTTCTCATTGCAGCAGACCAAGGAGCATAATTGTTTAAAATGCATGTGTGTTTGCATTCATAAACATAAGTACATAAAAATTCTTGAAAAGTGCTCAGGTACATCTAGAGATTAATCTCTTATGACTATACTTTATTATTCTAAAAACATTATCTAAGTGGATAGAGACTACAGAATTTGAATGTGGCAATATTAAACAACTTTAAATATAGAGGGTTTTTTTTTCCCCTCAGCCTAGTATTTTATAAGCATCTTTATTCCTGATATTTTCTAGGATACACGTATAAAATACAGAATACATTTCTGTAACAGGTACTAACTTAATGTCTGGGTAGTACCACCACACTCAGACAATCTTTAGTATGTCTTATTGTCTGTCCTAAACACTGATATCTTCAAGCAGAAGTCTGTACAGCCAGCCAAATTCTTTCATGCCATCAACTCCACTTCTCTGTAGCAAGTACATAGGTATCATCTCCTACCAAGACTGAAAGTCAGATTCCTTATTATTTTATCCTTTTTTTATTTATCTTTCCATTTACTCTATTCTTAGAGTTTCAGAATGCCAACAGAAGCAGAATATCTCCATACTGCCCCTTTGTGGGGATATTTGGAAACATACAAAATTCAAAGCTATTCAAGAGATAGTATGGTTCACGCTCCACTTTTATGCGCATACGTAAGTCATTAAATTTAACACTGCAGCTACATTCATCCCACAAAATGAAAAACGGGTTTTACTCTTTCTCAGACTTAATTCATTTATTCACAGGAAAGTCAGTGTTTCGTATAATCCTAACATAATGAGCAATTTCTGAAACCTCCCATTCCTCCCTCCCTCATCTCTTTGGCACCACTGCTGTTGTAAAAACTGACACTCCACAGTAATGAATATGAACTAAATAATTTTTTTTTTCAAATACAAAAGACAGATTAAAAAACATACTAACAACAGCAGTTGGAAATAGGGTAAGATGCATTTTCTTACTCTCTCCCTAACAGTCATCTTTGCCACTTTGAATACTTAAATCAGAATGACAGGAATATAAAGTGAATGTTCAGGACAGCTGAAATATTTTTCCGTTTTTGCTTTCTTGCTTTTCTTACAATTATTTTGGCAGCATACAACTACTATATTAATAGATAGCAAATAAAAACAAGTAAGAGATTACCTGAGAACATGAAAGTCCACATTCTTCAATCCTGGGAATAATCTGGCAATCAGAATTCCAAAAAATAATTATTAGAAGAATCTGAACATAAATACTTATCATCCTAAATTGAAAAAAAATAGCAAAACCTCAGAAGAAACCTTCTACTCTGACAATTCTCCCTCTCATGCCAAAACTTTAATATGAATTTTAGTCCCTCCCACAGCACCTCTGAGCTCCTCCCTCTAAAACTTTCCAAAGACAGAAAATTGCTAGTTATGGGAAATATAAAGCATGTTCAACTCATTTCTTATGTACTGTAGTGAAAAATGGGAAACGTGAATTTCTGACAACCACAGTAAAAGCCTTTTCCTTCTGGATTTCATCATGTCAGCTTTAGATCAGTTTTAACAAATTTCTTTTCTGCAAATTCTATGTATCAATGGGAATTTTGTTTCTAGAGTGATGTACCAGGCAGGTTCACTGGAATCCAAAGGCATTCTTATGTCTACTTATTTTCCTGTTTTTCTAATGTGTTGAATAAAAAGAAAAACAGCTTTGCTGAGGTGGGTAGTCTTGGAAGACTGGTTTCTTTGTTTTCATCAGCAGCAGGAAAAACAGATTCTTTTACCCTAGAAAATTGTGCCTTGAACTTATTTCACGTATTATTTAATTGTATCAACAGAAGCCTCTTGTACTATAGCCTATCTCCAGTTTTTGGATTTTCAACACACTTGGGAAGTATGCATGCTTTGCCAAAGAAGCTCATCATCACCAGCTCTGAAAGCAGGGTACGAGTCACAACACCTCAATACCTGTTAGCATAACAAAATGCCCAGGAGTGCCTTTCGGGGTGCTACCTGGCACAGTCCCACTACCCATCGCAAGGAACAAGTACTCCAAAAAACACACTCTCTGGTTCATATGGAGGCTATATGTGGTGTGTTCTGCCCATAGGTGGAATAGGGAGTTATTCCTCCATAGAAATAGAAATAGAAATAGAAATAGAAATAGAAATAGAAATAGAAATAGAAATAGAAATGGCTTTCTCACAACCGAGAGAGATATCTTTCAGTAGGACAGTGCCAGAACCCAAGAAGTCCTTCGTGCTCTTGCAAAACCTTTTGCATCAGTTAAAGTAGGGAATACACAATTAACACCATCTGCTAGGATCTGGCTTTACCAATATTTTCTTTTAATAAACAGGTAAAAGACAATGTCTACTCTGCCAATGTAGCTACTATACTTGTTTTTTAGATACTTTCACGTGAGTCTAGTTTGTCAATTTTCCAGTAAGACTGTATTTTTGGAAGATAAAGAACTGTCTCAATCACAGTACTGAACAAACTGTTATTTAATTATTTTGTTTAAAAAATAAAAATGAATTTTTTTCATCTCTACATAAAAAACCACCAGATCAAAGATCTGCCCAGTACACTCTCCTGTGCCTAACAGAATCAGTAGCAGATGCTTAGAAAAAATAAGAAAGGAGTTAAATATGCTACTTCCATGGATTATTTTAACCTATAGGCTTCCAAGTTCTAATGACTTGGATCTTATGGACTTCCTGAACTGAAAGCCATGTGCACATTGCTGTTTTTAATAGCTGTTTCTGGACCTTTCCTACATGAATTTGTACAACAACTCTTTGCATCTATTTATCCTTTTGGTTTTCAAAACTTCTTGTGGCTATGAGTCACACAATTAAACTATGTTTATTTGCTTTGTTTTGATTTTAAAACTGCTTCCAAATAGTTCAGTTGGGTTCTCCCCTTGTTCTTCCTTTAGAAAAAATAGAGAATATCCATTCACATCTCACCTTTGCTAAAATAGCCACAATTTTATTGATTTCTAGCATATCTCCCCTATTTTTATTAAGATTAAGAATATACCTCTTCATTTTTACTATACCCTTTTGTAAGATAGGGGATCCCGCACACAATATTCAGGAGTGAGCAGATCAAGGATCTTTTTACACAATAGCATAGTGATATTGACTGAATCATCAGAAGCATGATGTCCCTCTACCAAAAAGCCATTCTGTCTCTCCTTAGCATATCATTTACCAGTATGTCTCCTGCAAGCAAGCCAGTTCAGCTCACACCACAGTTAGTAGTTTTGCAACTTCAATTTCAATTGCAATTTGACCGTGTAGAATACTGTTTGATTACTGTTTCAGATATTAATCTTATTCTTTTGGAGTATTTGTTTTAAACTGAGATCTGAGACAATTCCTCCAACTCACCCTTCAGTAGGTTCCTATGTAATGAACTCAACTGCAAGCAAGCACTTCATTTTTTTTTAGTGTATCATTAGATTCCTCGAGCAAAAGGCGTCCTTTCATATCTCCATTACTAGTCAGCTCCATAGACTTTTTAGGAGGCTTACTTCTCATCTTTGGTTAAAAAAGGCTAGTATTGACCTTTGTTTAAAATATTGCATTGGGAGCTGCAAAAAGATGTTTTCTTACAGGCGGCATTTTGGGGGATATCTTATATATGTACTATTCTGAGTTTTC